AATAATTTTTAAATGAGCATATTTTTATAGAATTTGAGATACACAGTCTCGCGCCCTAGAGATAAAAATGTCTTTTTTTTTCGTACAGTGTTGCCATTCCTCGTTTTGAAATCGTTGAGTTTGTTTATCAAACATTCTTTAATGTCTGAGAAAATATGAAATAGCTAATAAAACAAATTCCAAATTATGGCTTCCAATTGCACATATTCGGTGGAGGATTACGTTATTAAAAATTTGATTTCTCTAGGTACCGTTGTTTGACGACAATGCGAGAAACATACATACATTTATGCCCATTCTTCACTATTTAATTTCGTTAAATAAAACTCAGGGCGATGATATTTTGTGGCAACAATTTGTAGAGTGAAACGGACATTTAAAGTTTTCGACGCGAAATGCCGAAATGGAATTAATATCCCTTCTGGGTTAACGGTTTTTGGACTAATAATTAAGAAATATTAATTTGCATGTACTTATAGGCACCTCTTTCCTGTTTTTACTATTCTATCGCACCAGCGTGTTTGTTTCTAAATAGTGTTTGCTCATACTTTATAACTAGTTCACGAAAAAATTTATGTATAATGTGCATATTATTCCCAACGCATACAAACAGAGTCTGTAGGTAAAAATATGTATGGGCACCTTAACAGAAAATATCTGTAGATGTTTTTAGAAATTGAATCTAATGATAGCAGTAATGATAGTAGTATATTTGCCTATAAAAATTTCCGTTACTACTATGTCTGTAAAATGAACATGTGATTAAACGCAGTGAATCAAAACAGCTAGTGCTTACGAAGCTTAAAAACATTTTATAGTAGTATTCCAAGTTTAAGAAACTTGCCAAAATGCAATTCAGATGTTTTCTAGAAGGTGTAACATAAGTTCCAACAGGACTGACAGTTACAAATTTTTAAGGTAAGTTTGAGATACATGATGGAGTTTGTGATGTACACATGGAATGATCTGGCAACCTTCGAATAGCCATGTTAAAACCTATGGAATGCACGCAGTTCACATGCACGCCACGGAAATCTGCCACAGAATATAGTAGTGATACAAGTTAAGCTTGTATGAATGAGAATTTGCAACGAAACTGCATAAGGTTGAAGAGATGCATTTGAATTTCCAACAGCGTTCAATTGATTTAATAGCTTTACAGAGGATGGTAAAAGGTGTAATATATCACAGAAAACCGGCTACGTTGGTTTAATTTTACCGAAGAAATTAAAATTGCGTGTTCAGCAATTCCTATGGCGCTTGGATAAGCGTTGCTTGAGCAGTAGTTTGCCATTGCAGAAGGCGTATGGAAACTAATGGTTGCTACTTTGATCATCTTCTGAAACTTTGAAAGTAAATTGTATGTATCTCATAATATACAATTTATATATCTCATAATATATGAATAAATTTAGTATTTATGCGTATCGCAGAATTTTCATTTGATAAAGTATGTATATATTATCTGAAGGAATCTATATGCGGATGCTAATTGGAAATGAAGAAATTTAATTTTACAGAACTGCTACCAGAAATTACAGAATGCTAAACATTCTGACAATCATCTTTTTGCAGAAAAATGCTCGATCGTTTAGTTATCATTCTATCTCACCCTGCAGAAATATACTGCTAATATAATTTCTACTTATAAATTAAACATGTTGTAAAAATAAGGTTCATTGAAGAACTGAGATTTAAAGTGTAATATATTGCGTAACGTAACAACTATATTTATCGAAGTAAATCCAAGTAAATGCTTGAGAATTCTAATTAAATGCAATTGTTTTCCCAAATGCGAATTCAACTGGGACAATAATTTGCTTTTGTATGAATATATGTATTGGAAACTAATAAGCAATTATTAACCTACTCAAATAATGGACAACAGTTTGGAAACTTAACTTCGAATTACAGAATGCTAATTTGATACAATGAGGAAGTGTTTTATATCAGGCACGGTTCCAGCATTTTTAGTGCTTTGGGCGATGAGTACTACTGGCGCCGCGTAAACATATTAATAATTCAAAGCGAAATATACTTTTGTTTAGATGCTACTTGTAAGAAATCATAACTAGCATTCTCCAAAAATCGGCTGCCTATGCAGTTCTTAGTGTTGCCTCGTGTTTGAAAGCAGCCCTGTTTTCGACAATATTGTAATTATATCGCTAAAAATCATTATTCAGAAAACTGCAAGTTACTCTATTCACTAAACGTGCATAATATCAAAACATTAACACATTGCTGTAAATAATCAATGAAAATATAAATGTAACTATTTATCATTGCGACGCTGTTTTTGTAACTACTTTGATTCTTTTTCATTTGGCTGGCCTTAACGCGCTTTATTATGAAAATTGGGGTAAATTCGGATGTACTCAAAGTAGTTACAAAAAAAGAAAATTTGAAAATGCTGCCAAATGTTTTCAGAAAGTTTGCTTTCTGCGATTCAACGCTTAAATATTTATCAATATTTTCTTGCGTATTTAATTTTAATGACATACCTCATTTTGAATGTGTAGAATCTGATGTATTTTTTCAAAGCAGTTTAAAATTCAGAAATGGTATTCCTTGTAGTGATAGGATAATTTGTATCTCATTACTCATGTCCTGGTTTTTTATTCTTGTCTGGAAATATTTAAAATTAAATTTCATATGTAATTTGTCCCTAATTTTTAATGCTCAGGTTTTATGTTTTCAGTTTTTACATATCAGAAATGTTTTTTAAATGTTAAAGTTGAATTTTCAGGAATATTTTAAAGTGATATCTAAATTTTATTGATTTTTAGGTAATTTACAATTTAAATTCTAGTGCATTTTCCGAAAAGGTTTAGCTATCAGCATCCCAAGATTTCACACACTTCTGAAACTTTAAATATGATCTCTTGTTCATTCTGTTATATTTAACTCATAATATAGGATATTAATAGACTATAACTGAACTTACTTCTATCTTAATAATAAGTAAAAATTTTAGGTTTTAGAATAAAAAAAGATACTCTAAACATATGTAAAAAATAAGAAGAAAATTAGGATCTAAATGCTTTGATACGAAGTTCCCTTTAATTAACAGGGTATGCGTGTAGGTTTGAGGATATTAACTTTTTCAGTGTTTATATATTAAAAAGAATACCTATTTCACCTTTCCTAAATTCCGCACAAAGGCGTTTTGTAAAATATATTTACATCAACAACTCTGCCTATTTTCGTTGTTTTCCATTTTCAACATATTCGTGAATCTGATTCAACTATTCAGAAGAAAAATACGCGAATTATTTCTTTTTAGTCGAAGTAAACTTAAAAAAGGATATTTTGTAGAAAAATAATATTAACCCTATTTCTACCTTTCATGTAACAGAATACAGATAAAATTCCTTCTTGTAATAAAATGAAACGAATGTGCGTCATAATATACATAAATAAAACATGTGACATTTCGCTTATTACAGCTATGATTTCTTACATTCATTCTTGTTAAAATTAGTTCTATTATGTTTACTATTATTCTACTTTACCAATATTCAAGAAGTTGCAATTACAGGTTTAAGATTAAAATTTGATTTTATTCAGATTCAAGGAATTACTTAAATTCCTTAAAAGTCAACAAAGCATGAATGTACTACTTTGAAGTTCTAACTGTCATCTTGGCTCATAAAACCGTGGTTATGGGCTCAGACTTTTGCAGGCAGAAAACCACATTCATCTCTTTTTCCCTCGTAATAAGAAAAAAGAAGTAGAGAAATTCGAAGGACTCTTCCTGTAACTCCAACTACTCTAACCAGGCATCCACTATGACATATTTTGTGCTTTGTACATATTTTGGTGAAAAGTAAAACCCAGTTTCATCCTTGTTGCTAACCCTCAGAATTCCGTATTGGCTACAGATTGTTGTATTTTTATACTACCAAATAGCCGGTATTGCCAACAGATCGATCACGAAATAATACTCAACTATTTACCGGAGTACCACAGGAGATAACGTCCACAATTAGTTTAAAGCCACGATTAATTCCAAGGCAGTTAAAAACACAGGAAAGAGGATAATTAATATTATAGTTAACAGAGAAAATGTATTAGCAATTTATCTCTGTTTTCAAGAAGTTTGATTTGAAAAATGATATTTGTTTATATAAATTAAATCAATATTCATAAAAAGAATGCATTTTAAATAAATGAAGAATAAATGTCATTAAAAATAAAGCAACTAAGTTATGACATAATAACATTTACAGCACAGCTTGATCTATGTCGTTGAGTTCAACCTCGCTTAAAAACATTAGTTATAATTTTTTGTTCTTTACTGTACAATCTTATATTAGAAAAGGAGAATGTTTGTGCTGTGGACAAAGTCAACTGATCAATACTCACGTTTTACAGAATGTTAAGTGTTACCATGCTTTTTTACATTTTTGTACGTAGTAAAAGAAGTATTGTAAATGCGAAAATTTTCGGGTATCGTATTTCAACGGAAATATCCATTTTGACGCCTCTCGCCTCTCAAATCCATTTGCAATTTTCTTGCATGACATTTACGTCAAAGGTAGGATGCATCGTGAGATTGATAGTATTCAAATCACAGTAACGAATGCGTTGGTGGTAATACTTCGTTCTTTATGAATCTTTTAAATAATTTATAATAGCAGTTATGAACACTATGACATAACACTGTTTATGGTTTAAATACATTAAAGACATGATAATTTTTATTTCATTATAGCATTTATTTACAAATGATGAAAATGTCTTTATAGTTAAATTCCATTCTTTAGTACATAAATGTTTATTAAATTAAATTGCGAAACATTATAAATCTTCACAATAATTCGCAATTTAAAACATAACTGAGCTCTTCACAGGTATCGTTTGACCTAGAAATAATTTCATTAGAAATGCTGGGGTGCAAAACATCTAAGTGAAAGTATTTTATCTTTTTTTAATCTTTGTGGCTTGCTTACCAAACGTTCCTGAAGCAATACCATCATGAGGATTGACCCCTGTTTAACCTGCAAGAGATATAGCTTCGTCATTTGCAGACTTCCTTGCAGCAGGTCTGTCTTCCCTGAACATTAATAACAGCGCGGCGGTATATTTTTGGAAAATCTTTTCAGAAACAGCGAAAAATGCTCTCTCATCTGACTAAGCAGGAAGTGAAACTCATTAATCAGTCTTTGAGGTCCCAACGGAAGAAAAAAAAGGTCTCCTGAATAACCCAGATCTCCATTCTCTCTTGTTCGGAGATATAGAGGGAGGAGCCTTTCGCAATGGATGTGCTGTAATCTCGGGTCACAATTTTCTTTTAATGAGCGTTACAGTTCTTAAGATTTGTCTTTCCAGAGTGTTTGTTCTTTTGCCTTCTTCTTTTCGAATGCCAAATGTTTAGAGGATTTCATAGATAAAGATCGCTATTATTTGAAATGATCATTTTTGAAATTTATGATGGGCGGGATGAAAATTATAAATCTTGATGTGGGAATTATAATCTCTACAAAAAGGTTAAATTTAGAAATAAGCTTTGCTAATTTCCTTTCTTTGGTTTATTTGTTTGAAGTACACAGAACAGCCATCAAGGCCATTACTATCACTGTCACAGGTGAAGATGTCGGATTTTATAGAATATTAACTATGCCGCCTCATCAACTTATGGGAAAACTGCAGACTCCAGTCATATTACTTTTGACTGGGTAATTGCATCTGACTATGCTTGCTGAACAACATAAGAACTTTCTGAACCATATAAAACTGTGCTCAGAACTCTTTCATATTTACATCATCCGGTGCAATATTTTGAACATATCAAAGCATCTGATAATCCAAATTACTGTAAATTTAAATAGCTACATGCACAAACATTTATTGTAAACCTAACTATTTTTGTTATTGTTTATATTTATACGCCTCTTTAATGCCTGCCGTTATAATGAATTAATGTCTCTTTTCTGTATTTATGCACTGATATGGGCTAAATTCACTTAAGTATTATTACCAACAGCACTGTTCTTACTGTTTTTATGCGTATGTTAATATATATATATTTATATTTATCTTTATATTACATATTTTTTAATCTTTTGACAGTATTAGCAAATGTGTTACTCTAAATATTTATTTTATCAATACAACGTCGATGTTGTCCAGCAGTTGTGAATGCCTTCATGTTTCAACTAAATCACACTCCGTATTATGCATTGGTTGCTAACTTATTTCCAGATTGAGAACTGTCTCCTGGGCCATCAGCCGAGATTTGTAAGATTACAGCAGAGTTGCCAGATCCACAGAATTACATTTTGTCACTGTCAGGACTTTCTGACTGTAAACTTAGATGTTGGTAAGCTGCCTTACCCCATTATTAGTCCAAAGGGGCAATTTGCCCTGAAGGACTATTAATTTCGTTTTGGCATTTTGCGTTGAAAACTTTATAAAGCTGTATCCCTTTTCAAACTGTTGCCACCCCATATTATTGCTCAGTCTTATATTTAAAGAAATTAAATAATGAGGAATCTGCATAAATGTATACTTGTTTCTCGCATTGCGATAAAACAACGGTACCTAGAGAGCTATCAAAATTTTAATAACGTAATCTACCATAGAATATGGGCATGTGGAAGCCTTAATTTGAATTTCAAATTTGTTTTATTATTCATTTCAGATTTTGTAACACTTCAACGGATTTTTGATTAAAAACTAAACGATTTCGAAGCGAGTAATTGCACCATTGTACGAAAAAAACATTTTTATCTCCAGCTCGCGAGACTCTGTTTTGGAAATTTTAAAAATATGTTCATTTTAAAATTAATTTGCGATATTGCTGTTTCACTGAATTTTATAGTTTGAGTAAGTAGAACATGATATTCAATAAATAAAAGTGTTAGATACGACAGTAAATGTACACCATTTTGTCCGTTCATCAACTCGTTTCTACCTAAATAATCTCTCTAAAAATTTAAACACAACCAAACAAGTTTATTCTACCAAAATAATAATGTTTTATAGCTGTTGCCACTCAAAACAAAACTAAAAGGAAATTAATATTATATTGGTTGAATGTAGATGAACAATGCTACACTTTACATACTCTCACCCTTTGATAACAAGATTTTTGTCAAAACAACTATTTAATTAAACTAAAATTTAACCTAAAAGTTCATTTTGAAGTCTTAAAAGTCTATTTTAAAGTTCGCTTTAAAGTTTATTCTAATGTTCACTTAAAGTATATTTTAAAGTTCAAAGTCCTTGAATATAGAAGGCACTTTTATAGCTCGACCACTTCATAATCTAATCTATAGCACTCATCCAAATATTTATCAAACGTTTTGCTATCTGATCACAAACTGGTTTAAGTTTAAAAATTACTATATGAAATAAAGATTTCTTTCTAACCTTTAGCCTTCCTGTGTTTGAGTTGACTCAATCATTTCTTTCTTAACCTGTGATTTAGAATAAATTTTGGAATTTGTAATCTCAACACGTGGTGTTTCAGAAGCACTTTCTTCAAGCTGTTCTTCAACACACTCATCACTTTTGTGTGGTCCAGTCCAATGGTCCCAATCTTCATTATCGACTTCCTCATCATATGGATATTTTGGACATTCTTCTTCTTGAATAGCATAATAATTATCACTAAAAAGCTGTTTCGTTTCCTAGTCATGATTTTCAGGATCAAAATCACTTTCAATTTTATCTTCATTAAGGTTCAAATCATCTTGACCAGGCACTTCTTTCAACTTTAAAAATTTTTCTTTAAATTCTTTTCTCTTTAAATCTTTTAAACGTTTTAGATCTTCTCATTTTTGCTCTTTCTTCCTTTTTATTCTTTTAACGTATTCTTCATGCTTCTTATTTCTTTTATTATCAACACGTCTGAGAGAACCTTCCGTCATCCTTGGATATCGTCTAATGAATTTTGAATTCGGCTCTTCAAATCGGAAAATATACTTACGTTCAAACAATTCTTGCCTTTTCATATCTTTTTCATCATCATTTGAAACTGAAATATCTGTTTCTTCATAAGTCGGAATCTCACCATTTTTATATTTTCCTTTACACTTCTTATCTAAAATAAAATCTCTTAAAATTTTCATATTCTCATTCAGGTTTGAATCATTCCTAAACTTCTTCAAAAAGGACATTTCTTTCCTAACGTCTTTTGGTACTTCTTTTTCTTGATCTTTTAAACATTTTAAATCGTCAGCCTCTTCATCCTTTCTTAAATTTGCCATAAAATGATCGTTTATTAATTATCAATTTCACTTCTAGATTTCAATTCAAAGGATATATATTGCCAATGGCTTCTAACTCCCAGAGGTTTCTGATATCTTGCTTGTGAATCAAGAGTGAGGTATCTACAGCAGCAATAGAATTTTCACCTCCAGTTGTTGGCGATTTACCCATCAAACACCCATCCGAGCAGTGCTCCATTGCAAAAATGCCTATACTTAATTTCTTTATTTTTCCTGTATAAATATTTCCTGCAAAGTCTGAGCCTATCAAAAGATCAATCTGTGGGTTGACACAATCAACATCTGTGATATGAATACCCTTTCCAGATAATTCTGATATCCGAGGTCCTTTCTGTAGACTAGGTATATATCCACAAATTATAGGCTGATCTAAAACAGGAATCTTGCGGCTGTAACCAGTATGCAGATTCTCAACATTTATTTTATAACATTTATGATTCATATCAGATGTCCTTCCTCCAAACACAACGTGTGTTAATTTTTTATGAGCTTCTGATCTTACTCCTAAAGATTCTACTGTGGATTTCAAAGCATAGGAATTGTCAGATCCAGTATCGATCAAAGCTCGAAGATTAAGTTTCTTTCCTTCATGTTGAGTGGCAACCACTGAAGTTTGAAGCAAAACTCTTTCTGAAGTACATGTTGAAAAAATCTGATGTGTACATCACATGACTTCCTTGTACGGAATATTAAATTATACGCATTTTTTCTTGCATTTTATTTAAACTTATTAGATTGAATTAAACCTACTTCGCCAACAGCGCATAAACCACAACAGAATAAATGCATTCATTAAAATTCACTTTGTTTACCATAGCGACACGCTGGCGCTAGGTTTACTTAACAGTATTATATTTCATTCATATTATAACTCAGAATGCACAAAATTTATATAATTTAAAGAATAGAATTATCTAATCGTTGCCACATGTTCTATTCAAATACTATAATAAAGCTAGAACGATGTATAAAAGAAATTAAGCAAACAAAACAAAACAGAAACAGTTTTCACAGATGATTGAGTATTTCTCATTTAATTAATTCAGTTCTTACTTCACGAGAAGGCAAAAATACATAAAAACTCAAAATATCTATATTAAAAATTACGAAGTAAATCTCAAACGCTTATTTCCTCGAAAAAATTCCAGAAAGAATTAAGCATGATTTAATTGGCAATAATAAATGAAGCGTTATCTTTGTTGTTGCGAAGCTAAGTTTCTCTAGATTGGCAACAAATCCACTAGTCTCCTGTTTCAAATGTAAACATCAATGGCCGCCATTAAAAAAGGCTTAGCGGCAATTAAACAACTTTAAAACTGCTGATAATTCTAAAAATATTGCACGCAGATTTACTAAAGGCATAAAATCCTTAACCGGAAGATAAAAACAACATAATTCAATCATTTTTAAAGCAAAAAATGTACAATTTACAAACATATAAGAGTAAAGAAACTGAGATCGCTGAGCCGGGTAATAGAGTGGATATATATATAAATATATTTATATACGTTTGGTGTTGCCGATTGCAACCAAAATACGAGGTGCACATCTACATGTTATGGCAGTCCTATATACAAAATTTCAACGTTCTGAGGCTACTGGTTTCTAAGTTATGAGAGATACGTCCGTACGTACGCACGTACGTACATACGTTCGTACAGACGCCACGAAAAATTCTCTTCAGAATCAATTTTAAAGCAGTTTTATAATTTTTTTGAAGGAAAAGGGTATTTTATTCTGTCCTTACGTACAGATATGACGCAAAAACATCGTTAAATTGCATTCGATAGCGGTCAAAATGGATATTTTCTTTGAAATAGGCTGCCTGAAACTTTTCGCGATTACAATACTTCCTTTTTACTTCGTACAAGGAAGTAAAAAGAGTGCTAATTTCACAATTTTCTCGATTGCATTCTACAGGAACATTCGATTTCTGCTTAAATTCTGAACAACAAACAATGTAATGCTTCCTACCACAAAACATGCATAGAACTTTACTTTTACAATTTTTAGCTCGATGGTTTGTTTTCAAACACGTAAAGCAACATTTTTTCTCTTTCATAATTTTCAATTTTTCATCATGACTTAAATTTTACGCTTTGTAGCAATCTTTGCTTTGATAAGAGTTTTCACAGAATAAACAATTTACAACATTATTGTTATTTATTTCTTTTGCTCCCGAAAACAAGTTGCTTGCAGTACGTATAGTAATAGCTTCCTTATAATTATCAACTTTTCTATAGGGATCACTTTGCTCCATACTTGACTTTGCTAGAGTTATTCTTTCTTCCCCTTCGACCTTAGCCCTTAGAAAATTTTAAAGTTGGCTCAGTCTTGAACTATATGATTTCTCTTCATTTACTGAGTTTCTCAACCAAACTTTTAACACGTCTTCTGGAATACACGACTCCACAAGCGGGAAGAACATTGCAGAATATTTGTCTGAGATCATCCCAATGGATTCTAATGATCTGAGCTGGAATTCAAGTTTATCATATAATTGAGTGATACTAAGCTTTGATTTGGTAGCATTTTTAACTACTAAAGTTAATAGTTCACGAACATAGTATTCCACTAACAATTTCTCACGGCCAAATCTTGCTTTGAGGCTTTCAGTCGCTTTTGTATAATTTTCCGCCGTAGGTGGATAGCTATCGATAATCTCTTTCGCTCTTGCACCTGGCAACGTACACTATTAACTATTGGAATTTGTCTTCCAACGCCATTTCTTTATGATCATGAATTCGTTTAAACTGACATTAGAAACACAACTATTCTTTAACTTCATCGCTAAATTTCATTAGTTCAAGTTTGGGAAGTTTTAGTTTTGATTTCTCATTACTTAATATATTCCTATTTGGTTGTGATTTACTTTTTGTAAAAGAATTGATTCAAACTATAGCTTTATCAAATTTGACTTTATATTCTTCTACAGATTCAATTTCATCAGAATAACTTTTACCATTATCGTCTGCATTTAAGGCAAGTTCTAAACTTTCGTTATCAAGAGTAATTAAACCAGCACTAATGCGTTCTAAAGTAGCTAATTTAATCTTAACATCACTTATTTCTATATTTTCATCATGAAACAGAAACATTAAACTTTTATACGTCTTAGTAAACGAAGTTCGTAACGGAGATTACTTCTTAACAAGATGCTCCATTGCAAACCGAAAACAAAAAACCAATTAAGTATTTCTTAGATAAAGTACTCACCTCTTGTATTTAAATCAGGTACGGAGGGCACCAAATGCTAGATACGACAGTAAATGTACACCATTTTGTCCATTCATCAACTCATTTCTACCTAAATAATCTCTCTAAAAATTTAAACACAACCAAACAACAACAGCCATACAACCAAAATAATAATGTTTTATAGCTGTTGCTACTCAAAGCAAAATTAAAAGGAAATTAATATTGCAATAGTTGAATGTAGAGGAACAATGCTAAACTTTACAAAAGGTAACATACAAAACATTAAAAAACAGCCCCTTTGGACGTAATTTAAAATCTGAAACCTTTCAGATTTTATTTTTTTTCATACAATTGTAAGTTGCTTACCACATTATTATTTGTATGTTTACTTGTAATCTTTTGTCAAGTAGTCAGTTTTCACAGAAGCAAGATCTGATTTCATAGCAGCAATAGTTTTACCATGCAAACGCAGAGATTCGGGATACATGATTTAGTCTAAATGCTGCATATGGGAATAAGTTTTGCATTCACCGGAAGATAAAGCATGTAATAATATCGTAAAATTTGCAAGCATATAAGATCCTAGTTATATTTTCTAGCTGGCTAGAATTTTATCTTCCTGGTGGAAAATTAAAGTACGTTTAAAATAAGGCACGAGATGCCATTCTGGAATGAAAACTTGTGCTTTTATCCATTCTTGGTAGAGTAACTAAAAACAACTACAACTCAAAATCTAATATACCTGATAGTGATCAGAACCGTACACAAAACCGAGCTACAAGGAAAGCCCCAAAAGTTCGGAGTTGAACAGATTTCAAATTAATCTCTCACCGAATTCGCGGTTAGAGTTAACAGAATTTCACTCATCCAGTTTCAATCTGAGTGCAAGGTACTGATTGATACGCACTGACGCATGCTAAGTTTACTTAAATATTAAGGAAATAAGATAAGAATTACAAGGACTGAAATTTTACGTAATAATGCAACTAAATAACCTTTAATGAAATCATTATTTGTTACATTCTAAAATTGAATGCCACCAAATTCTGAGTTCTAAAGTTCACGAAATTCGAATGAGGAATTTCGTCATTTAATCTAGTTTTACTAACAGATGCATAATAAAGCCTTTTAAAATGTATCTTGAAAGATTCCCAATTTAAAAGCCGTTAGCATTTTACTATCATATTTATATATCAGAGTGTTACATTTTCGTTTTACAGTTTGATAGTAGTTTGAGAGGTAAAGCATACTTATTTGTTTGTTTATAAAGCCATTAACGCATATCATTCTGGGACAGGCTGTACTAAACGATATCCAATTATAAGAAATTTTATTTTATTCGTCTCACTTAAATATCAGCTATATTTACAATGGAGTCATTGATTAATTTTATTTTGAGAGAGGCTGAAATAAATTGCCAGTACTTGTAAAAATGTTTAGTCTCTTTTTTTCCTTTTGGTCCACGAAATTAAACAGAAAAATTCCTTTTATATCATAGAATAGAGATCATTTTACCTTCATTACTTATGAAAAGAATCCATAGTACAAAAAAGGCAAAATTAATAAACTATACAGAAAAGTTTTTTTATGGGTGCTTTTTATATTTTTTCCACAGATCGTATGGTGGAAATTTAAAGTCATACTAATCCGTTTCAATTTAAATTTATCATGTCAAGCGCATTTTTTTACTCTGATTGAGTGTGTGTCAATATAGTGTATATACTATTTTCGATAATTCAAAATTTAAATCGTTGTGTCGCAAGATCACAAATATTCACTTA